TTTATATATATATATATATATATATATATATATATATATATATATATATGAAACTTTCTATGGAGGTGAAGATGGAAAGCTAATAACCCAATAATATACCAAATCAACGGAGTATTAATGGTTATCCTGCCTCGAATATCTTAATAAATCAGATTCTAAACAAGTCAAGAAAATGCAGGATGACATCGCGCTGTCAAGCATTCGACCTCTTGGTCAGAAAACAGGGTGGGGCCAATAATTGAATAGCTCACGAGACCACATTGAACGTTCAATTTTATAAAGGACTGACGACTCGAAACGTAGTCCTGATTTCTTGTGAGCTGGACAATTTCCGGTTATTATGCATTGGATATATTGAAGCGTATATACAAGGTTCTTCACAAACAACTAATATACGTGAACACAAGGCACATATTCGTGGCTAACCTGCTGTTTTTCTTCGGATTTACCACTGAGTTCCCCCATGTATTTGTACATCAAGAGCGAAATCGCCTCATTCACGTCGTAGTTAGTAGTTTCCAACGCGTTCCGCACATCCTCCTCATCTGTGAACCCCATCATTGCCAGCTTTTTGATGCTGTCGTCAACATCAATACTGGAATTATCGTTCAGTCTCGCGAAATCCTCCATTGCTGCTCCTCAAATCTTTATGATAGAATCTAACATGTGAACCTAAAAAATATTCAAGGACTGCGCGGCTCAAAATATCAGAGAGTTGAGTTTGTTTGATCGAATTAAACAAAACATCATTCGCGTTTATTTTTGACACAAGATTGCAATATTCATAGAAGGGACCATAAAAATGTTTTTTTCTTTGCACAAATAGGAACTTGTTGTTTAATATATCCATAAGGGTAGTAAGTAATGTGAAAGACCTTAGAATCATCTTGAAGTTTGTGCTTCGGTGAGTCTGTAATTACCAGAGAAAATCTGTGGTGAAATCCTAAGGGGTTTATGATATGAATCGCTGCGAAAAAAGGGGTTTCTGTATTCTCTTTTTGTCTCTTTTCCATTGGTTTCCTGTTAGATCCATAAATATCACGGACAGGAACCAACTTTACTAATTACTAATATTACTGCCAGCAGGAGAGATTCACTTGTCAGCTCATCCTGTATAGTTACGAGCCACCGTAACATGCATATAAAGAAATGGCATTGTTCTCAGGACCCACAAGTTTCAGATCATGATGTGATTGATGCAACAATTTTGCACGTTAGGATGCTACACCAGCTTTCTCCGACAAACTTTTACTTCCAGAGATCAGATCATACGAAACGCAGATTAGTTGCCTCGAGGTTCAATGCGAACTCTGGTACTCTCTCACTCGATCGTGGCCCCTTTGGATCTCAAGAGTTTGTTGAAGACAATTTAGGTTTCTACAATCGCATACATGGACAACAAGTGATCTGCAAATTGTCCATGTATGCGATTGTAGAAACCTAAATTGTCTTCAACAAACTCTTGAGATCCAAAGGGGCCACGATCGAGTGAGAGAGTACCAGAGTTCGCATTGAACCTCGAGGC